TAGTTTTTATCCATCTGTAAAAATGCAGTTCATATTAAACTGACGAAGTATTCAGACTGGCTAATATCACCATTATGCTAGTATTTAGAATGTATACTGGGTATTCTTCCGTCTTCCCTCCTCTCTTCTTTTTTCCCGGTTCTCACTTTAGGCAACAACTAGTCCTAACAACTGGTTCCAATTCCTGATCATATCCTCCATGCCTGTTATTTGTAATGGAATTGCAATAGTTCACAGAAATGCACACACCATGCTTCATTAAACAAAGTCAATCTGCTCCCGTTCTCTTTCTTTCCCCCACCCTCCAGCACAGAAGACCAGCTACAGCTCTTATTCCCTCCTCACATCCCACAATTAATATTTAACTAGAAAAGGACTGGAAGCTCTTTCGTAAACTAATAAAAGCATGTTGCCCCAAGCCCCTCCCATCAAAAGGCACTCTCCTGTACAAAGTAGAAGAGAACTAGGAGTGGCTAGGTTCAGTTGGGTGTGCAGATTGAAAGAAGAAGAAAAAAAATATGACCCAATTCTCATAAACAGGGCTGAGCCAGGTAAGTAATACAGGGTCCTCTTGCCATCTTCCCATATTCATGTAGAATATTGCCAATTCCTATTCTTTTTTTCTAAGCCCTCCTGCTTTTCCAGATTATCTCCTTTTAAAATGTTCTCTCTGTTCTGTTCTTAGATCCTATTGGGATTATTACTATGATGCGGTGGCTCAGTGGCTAAGACGCTGAACTTGTTGATCAGAAAGGTCGGCAGCTCAGTGGTTTGAATCCTTAGAGCTGCGTAACGGAGTGAGCTCCCGTTGCTTGTCCCAGCATCTACCAACCTAGCAGTTCGAAAGCACATAAAAAATGCAAGTAGAAAAATAGGGATCACTACCTTAATGGGAAGGTAACAGAGTTCCGTGCACCTTTGGTATTTAGTCAAGCCAGCCACATGACCATGGAGACGTCTTCGGACAGCACTGGCTTTTCGGCTTAGAAACAGAGATGAGCACCGCCCCCTAGAGCCAGAAACAACTAGCACCCATGTGCGGGGGGAACTTTACCTTTACCTTACTATGATGTCCTGTTGCTGCTACCTTGCTGGAGAATGAAACTGCAAGAAACTAACCTCAGAAAGTACCAAGGATCCCACAGTTGAACCCTGATATACAAATATTCTCTTCTATTGTGATTATTACTGCTAAAGATCTAATGAAATTGACTATGGCAGCCATCTCTTCTTGTCATGGCCTCCTTTATAATGTAAAGAGCCTTGATCCCAAGCCATTGTCAGAGACTTTATTACTTATGGAGACAAACACAGTAAAATAATAATACAAAACTCAGAAGATGCTACTCCATCTCTAAAAAAATATGCTGAGACCATATCCCCACAGAGTCTTTTGAATTTGGGAGCCTCAGCTCTTGCTTGGGACTACTGTATCTGGATTGCAAAACATCTGGATGACCAATTTCTGCATCTCTTGGCTGGCATCTAGTGTTGGTTTTAGAGTCTTGAAACTCAGATTAGAAGCTCTAGTCTTGGTCTCTGCAACATCCCCTTTTAGTTCTTCCAGATATCATTCCTGATTTTGGAACTCAAGAGTCCACAAGTGGTTTCTTTTCATCATATACAAAACTCAATAGGATGCAAATGTAGTTATAATGGTTTTTTTAAAAATGCAGATGACATAACTCAGTGAGCAAAATTGATCAGCTGAGATTAAAAACGTGCTGTCAAAAATAAATTGCAATCAAATGGGCCAGTTCAGAAAGATTCCCACCTTTTTAATGCTTTTCAGGATAGTAACTTTGGAGATATTACTTTACAAGGATAGGAATTAATGGAAATTTAACAACCATACAATTTTGCAAATGACTGCAACTTTTATTGCCAATAACAACAGATGTATTATTTATAGTAGCTTTTAACCCTTGAACTAATTATATGCAGGTGTAGAAATGATAGTACATCTTTTTGAATAACTTTAATTGATAGACTTCCCAACATGATCAATTAGTGTAAACGAAAGTTTTAAAACTGCCTAATAAAGATGAATCATTTGGGAAATTCACTGTTTTGATCCCACAGAAACAAGTTCTTTGAATTTTTGCTTTTTCTCCTTTACCTTGGGCTGCCTTATTTTTCATTGCCAATTCCGTAGCCGGCAAGAGTTGGCATTCCAAAAATCAGGATGACCACTAGATAATACCAAAGCGTTTAGCTCTTTGCCACAATCTATCCAATAGTTAGTTCTTAGCCAGTTCAGAATTGGGAGCCCTACCTTAAAAACAAAAACACCCAACAATCACATGAGCAAATAAGTCCCAGTTATCACTTACAACCTGGACTATCCTTACCACTAGATTATTCCCCTTTCCACACTTCTCCTTCCTGAAAGCTTTTTAACCTTTCACCTCAGGAAACTGGATTCAAATTGTGCAAAGGACATAAGGAAAATGAGATTGATGACCTCCAGCCTGCTACCATGTAAAAATATATCCACATGATAAAAAGCCATGAACTTCACTAAAATAAGGAGTCTTTGTTCTTCTAGTTCCACACTTCTGCCTAAGAGAGGCTGAAGGTCAGGCTTGAAGATAGATTTGAAAAGCAGAGATAAAAGCTGACTCGGTCAGCAGGTCTAGCTTTTGTGCAGCGTTAGCAGTAATTATATTTCATGAGTCTGCAAAGCCAAAGAGGCAGAGAAGACCAACCACACAGCACTTGAGGATTTGATTGGGACTGAAGCAAAAAGGAAAAAAAAAAGAGGGGTCATGGTGATATTGAAAAGAAAAATAAAGTTCTTCATTTTAAAAATGTCACAACTATAAAACGTGAGGAGGGGGATTTACCTATATATAGCTATATTTGTCAATTGCAAGGGGATCATCAAATGTATAGCTCATTCTACATTTAAACATAATCGGAATATTTTTTCTTTATTAGGTATCTAAACTGTGGTGATAGGGTGGAAATAAGAACTCTTCAGTTAATTAGCGTATACAAATTATTTTATCACATTCAGTAATTCATTAATACTAATATTGATGCTGTTAATCATTTTGATACCCAGGGCTTGAGTTTATGCTTTAAACTTCATTAATTAATTAGCTGTGTTTTTTAATTTTTATCTCCTCTAGTAAAACTTTGAATTTTGGGTAGTATCAAGTAATTTCCAATGCCATAGAATTTACACAGGTGTAAATTACTTAATATTCAACTTGGCTTAATACCTTGGTAATAAAGATGCTGCCAACATATATCTTATTCACTGGATCAACCCAGCAAAAAATTTTAAAGCTGAATTTGGATTCATTAGAATAAAATAAATGATATAGTTAGAAAAATAACTCTGGCTTCTTATTTATTAATTTATTTTCAAAGATTAAACTAAAAAACACTGAAGCATGGTTTAAAATTCATGTGTATGTGTATATATTATATTATGAGGAAAGTAGTAGCCAATTCCTGTAGGCTAATAGACAATAGCTATAACAAAAAAATTGTCACTATTCTTGATACATTTAAAAATTGGCCCTTTAAAAGGAAAACAGTGATCTTATCATCAGGAGGTTTCCTCCAAAAAATCCAACATTAGCCTAGACTCACTAGCATGATTTCTATTTCTTTAAAGACAATAATTTCAAAAGAAAAAAAAACTATTTGGTAAAAATACAAGTAATACAGCTCAGAACTCTCTTCAGACCACTAATATAAAAAGTCTAATGTGATTAAGTGGTCCAATTTCACTCTGTGGCTTAGTTTAGATATATTTACAGTATAAACAATAGCTCATTATGCACGAGTTTTTTAAATGCCCTAGCTTTAAAGCTCTTTCAACTGAAAGGGTAATAGTTACAAAAGAAGAAATACACAATGTTTAACTAGGAATTTAACTGTGTCCCCACCCCAGGAAAAATAACAAGAGCATAGTAGCTTTAAATCAGGGGTGTCAAACTTGCGCCGTCACAGTGTCATATAACACATCATGGCTTTTTCTCCCTTCGCTAAACTGGGCGTGGGCATGGCTAGTGCATGACATATCTGGCCCACGGGCTGCAAGTTTGACACCTCTGGTTTAAACCATTTACTAACCTACAGTCAGGAAAACACAGCATTTAATAATACATAATGGGAAGACCTCCACATTGCCCTTAAAGGGAAGAAAACAAGCACTGCAGAGTCAGCAGCTGTTTTCATATCCTACTCCTTAACAAGCTCCAATCTTAAGATACTCATTTCTTTTATTTATTAAATTAAAAGTGTAAATCCATCAAATGGCCCCTATTACTTTTCCTCACCAATGTGGATCAAAAAAGAGCTTCACTAATTCTGGCCTCTGGGATATCCTTATTATTGAACAAGAGGTGGTCTGATTCAGGTTCATGAGAGTTGCATGCTGGATAGTGGACTCTAAGATTTCTTTATGGGCTGCACTGAATTCAGAAAAACCAAACAGCAACCATTTCAGTAGTAAAGGAATAATAATACATAAGAGATCCCATTAGTTCAGTTAATTTTTAATAGTTAACACTCAGTCCAGTGCCTGGATCCCATTTTTTGTGAAAACTGGCCCAGCCTTTAGAAAACTTATAATAGAGTGCTCCGGGGCCGTTTTTTGCTGATTTCTGCCCTCCCCAGCCTCCAGGAGCTCTCTGAAAGCCTCCTACAAGCTATGTATGGCCATTTTTGCGAAGGGGGTAGAATCTCAGGAGGCAAAAAATGCTGTATTCTGTGTATAAGACGCACCCAGATTTTCAGCCTCTTTTTTGAGGGAAAAAGGTGTGTCTTATACTTTGAAAAATACGGTACTTGATGGAATCCTTATTTTAAATTTTAGTATTTTTGGCCATGACTGTATGCAGAAATTGCATGTTCTAGTAATTCAATAAAATTTTATATAATGGTACCATAATACAATTCCTTAATTATTTAGATCCTCTTTTCTTTCTGAATTAGGCCACATTTAACCACATATAGTAACAGAATAAATAATAAAACAGATATTTTGATGAAAATCAATTCTTTATTAATATCTGCATATTAATAACACTACCTTTTCAGTTTTTAAAAAACAAGATCTAAAGATATTTGGCATGCCTTTAAAAATATATCTAATAGAAACAATATCTTTTCTGATAAATCCTGAACCTCACATTTCTATAACATGCACTATCTGTATCAGACTAAGTGTACAGGCATTTTACCTGAGGTACATGGGCTAATTATCTGAGTAGATTACAAGCATTACCTATTACTTAGAAAGACCATAAATGTCTCATCATACTTATGTTTGTATAATTCCATCAAACACATTGTGTATTTATTAAAGCTAAGGTGACAGGATGTCACTTTCCAGCCACACATTCTCCATCAATCTATGGATTCAGGTATAAAGTCTCCAAGCAAGATATTCATAACAAAAAATATTGCCAGAGGCTGTAACTTTGGTGACTTCCTTTCCACCAGCAGCAAAATACTGTTGAAGGCATAATATAATTCCTTCTTCACATGGCAACTTTTGTTTGCAAAAAGGTAAAGGTATTCCATCTTCTTGAAAATCTTAGTCTGACCTCTGTGTTTTCTGTTTATCATGCAACAACCTTCTCAAGTCACCCATTTCCCACAAGTAATACTGCTTATGCTGCTAGTACTTAAAATATCAATACCATGGTCCAGAACAAGAAAATACCAATACCATGGTCCAGAACAAGAAAATACTCAAAAAGATTTCCTATAAAGGGCACAATAATGATCTGGAGAAAAAAAAAGTACCACATGAAGCACACAATAAGTATCAGCCAACGCCCACTTATTAGCTTGTCAGTTAAAAAATTCAAAAATACTTAAGACAATCTTCTAATTTTTCTTCTGTACAGATGACACAAATATAAAACTTCCCTTTACCTATTGCTTGTTTGCACAACACTGAATCTTAACTGGAAATATGAACCAATTACATTTTATGAACAACCTTCCTGTGGCTCAGCAATGAAATGCAGAGCCCAGGCTATATCACATGCTTATTACGTATAATTTCCCCCCCTTCTATCTCGATTTGCTCATAAAGCCACTTGCGATCACAACGGCATTCAGGTCCACACTTGCGGGAGCCGCACTTGGAGCAGGCATAGAAACACCCAAGGCAGTCTTCATCAAGGCAGTCACACAGGTCTATCCCGCTGAAAAGCAGAAAGCCTTGGCCGTCATATACCTTGCTCTTTGCTGCTATTAATTGCCTGGAGGGAAAAATACAAGCAATCAACAATTAACAACGATTTGTAATACTAGACACACTGTTTTAAATAATAGACAATTCAGTTTAAAACTCCTGACAGGTGAATTTCTCTAGTTTGTTGTACTAAGGAGTAGCAGATATAAACTAATATGACATAGAGCTGTCCTTGAAAAGTTTATGGAAACTTCAATTAGTTCAAAATACACTGGCTTGAATGGTTTTATGCAAGTCTAGATTGGTCCCTCTCTTGCAAGAGCTGCATTGGCTCCTGATTTGCTTCCGGGTCCAATTCAAAGTGCTGGTTGTGGCACCTTTAAGCTCTACATGGCCAGGGGCCAGGTTGTTTGAAGATCATCTTTTTTCAATTACATGTAGCTTACCCACTGGAGTGGGTAGGCAGTCTGGTCTACCAAGTTGGTTCTTCTAATGGGACAAGAAGAAAGCAGTGGTGACATTCAAAAAATTTCCCTACCGGTTCTGTGGGGGTGACTTGGTGGGTTGGGGTCATGTGATGGGTGGGCATGGCCAACTTAAAAAAAAATTAAAGCATTTTTAACTACTGGTTCAGGAGAACTGGTAGTTAAAAAATGCTAAAAAAAGTACCTACCTACCTACCTACACATTCTCTCTCTCTCCCTCCCTCCCTCCCTACTGTATTTCTTTCTCTCTATTTCTCTCTCTCTATCCCTTTATCTACCTACCTATCTACCTTCTCTCCCTCCCTCTCTCCCTCCCTCTCTCCCTACTCTCTCTCTCTCTCCCTCTCTCCCTCCCTTTCTCTACATAGACCAATGAAGTATTTTAAGTTTTAACATTCCCCTTAGGCAATGTTGTTCTGCAATCCAGACAAAAATAAAACTGAGCTTGGTTTCTTCATTGTCAATCCAAAGTTTTAAAGGGACTTTAAAGTAAAATGGAAAGATTCGACAAGAAAGGTAATACAAAGAGGATTTAAATCCAGCTACGGCAACGTGGTGCATTCCAGATACCTTGGTCCACAAATTTCAGTTTCTTGCTACAGTCCATATTAGTTAGGGATGATAAGACAGAACATGACAAATTTGGCATTAGCTCTTTATAATATCTGTACATAGTTTGCAAACATACTGTAGAAGAAATCTGGATCACTTTAATTAGATCATCTTAGATGTAAGCATTTTTAGGCCTAAGAAGTTTTATTTAGCTATGCTTGCATTGCTGCCTTTTACTGAGATAGCTTTGAATTTGAACATTCAGTCTTACAGAACCCAAAGACCCCAAGCAGAAAAAAATATGGGGGGGGGGGGAGGAGGTAACTAACTAACTACGATCAGCTAGCATTATGCTATGGAAAATTAATCTAGGATATAGAAAAATCCACTGCCACAAATTTCAAGTACTTCTTCTGGAGCACTTTAATTGCTGCAGTCCTGAAGCTGCTATAAAATATAAAATGTTTATAAAAACTCAACGGCTAAATAACAGTAATGAAGAAGACTGGAACAATCCAAGGTTTTAGCTGGAAGAAGGGCACAAATACCTAACTACTATGACAAGTACCGTGTTTCCCTGAAAATAAGACAAGGTCTTATTTTCTTTGGACCCCCGAAATAAGTGCTTGGCCTTATTTTCAGGGAGGTCTTATTATTTTTGAGGTGCAGAAGGCCCCTTAACCGCGGCCTGCGGCCCACAGATCAGTTGATTCAGAGAGGGCCGGAAGTTCCGTCTGTTTCTGGCATGCTCTTGCCAGCCCTAGCATTGCTCTTTTTGTAGCTGTCACTAAGAGATGGGGCGCAGTAGCTAGGGTTTGCGGGAGTGGCCTCCGCGAGGCTGTTCCATGTAGATGGCAGGTGCATGTGGGGCATGTTCCCCCCCAAGGATATGGTGGGGAAAGCTGTGCATGTGTTTAAATATTTTAGGGGAGGGCTTATTTTGGGAGGAGGGCTTATTTTAGCACATGCACTCAAAAGCCCGATTGGGCTTATTATCTGGGAAGGTCTTATTTTGCGGGAAACAGGGTAGCAAAAAGGAAGGTAATGTGTGCTTCTAATCAGCTTTCTTCTGCTTTCTCAGTAAATAAATCCTATTTCTCTTAGTGCAATCTGTATTGCACCAAAAAGACAAAAACTTCCAAGAAGAATTTATTGTTTTTGTCTCGGGACAATAAAGAAATAAATAAGTAAATAAATAAATTGCACCAAGAACATTTCCCCTAATCTGAGAAAAATCATGGATACCACAACTGCAGTGATTTTCCACTTTTCAAGCAGCTTTATAATAATTGGACAATGCAACTTATTTTATTCCTATGCACAAACATGGGGAAAAATCATGCATTTAAGCAGTTCTAAATTATAATTTATATGTAAGTAGAACAATTTTCCCTGAAAGTGAAAAAGCAAAGGCAATCAATCCATAAACAGTCTACCTGTCTGAATTAACGGATGTACTTTTCATTTGTAGTTTTCTTTTTTCTCTTTTGTTTGCTGCTTCTGGAGGAAATCCAGTATGCCGTCCTGGATTAGCAAACTTCAAGGCTTTAGTTGTACGCCCCTGAATAAATACAGACAATTTCATTTTAAAAAATTCAAAGCATTTCTAATTAAGTGATATCATATTTCAGCTAAGAGACAAACATTGAAGCTGAAGCCAAATATACACTTCTCTTTTTATTTATGGTATCAACTGTGCTCTAAGTTGCTTATGAGATATCTCAATGAACAAAAGTAATAGTAATATTAATAGTCAAAATAAAGCAAAGATAATAAATCGGTCAGGAATATACCCTTAGAGATGCATGTTAATGGAAACAGGAAGAGTTACTTTAATTATCAGGGTAATTTCTTCACTTCCCTTTTTATTTCCCACTAGCTGATAACCTGGCGTTGCACAGGTATTTATTTATCCCAATCCTGTATTAGACAGGAAAAGGAATTAATTATATCTATAGTGTCAAATCAAAGTACCATTTCCATTTTTCTGATGGTAATACTTGCATACTGCAAGTAGTCTTTATGTGGATCATAGTGGAATCCTTCCAATGCTAAGCTAAAATGTTGCGGAGTCCGTGATCATCTGGATCTATCTCTCATTTCCTGTAGTCGGGCTTCACACTGCTGTACTGTCTCTGAAATTCTAGAGGTAGCAGCTCTTTCACACTGCAGCACAAGTCTAATATCCCTCTCCTCGGGAGTTTCTTGTCTAAGCTGTTGTTTCATTTTTTTAGCCTTTGATTGCACTTGGCCAATCGCCTGACATTTCCTTGGAGGTATTGTTAAAGCAATGAAATCTATTATTATGGAATACAATAAAATAAATGTAAGAAAAAGACACTTGGGCCTGGCCCTGTTACCAGTTGTTGAAGAAAGCTACCTCAACCACTGTGGTGAGAATTAGAGACCTAATTGCACTGGCCAAAAACCTGGGAAAAATTCTACAGGGTGATTGAGGTGATTATCTGCATTAGCAGGCACTTTCCCCGACAACTTGCCCTCTCTCCTTGAAGGTATTTTTTTTTTAAAGAATCAATCCCCCTTACCAGAGGGATTCTCTCTTGTGGCTTAAAGTGAAGCTATCACCATGGCAACTCCACTGTGCTGTACAATAGAAGCCATTTTAAGGCACAAAAGGCTGTATCTTAACAGAACTTGAATCCAGACTGCACACTATCACTGTCAAAAGTACTGTGATTTGACACTATAGATATAAATCACTCCTTTTCATTTCAGTGGCTCAGGCGTTCCAGAGTCATGCTGGAACACACACACACACACACACACACATACACGCACACGCACACCCTGAGAGGAGCTACAGGTGTCTTACCCCCACAGTATTTTTTTCCAGAGAGTAAGTCATCTGTGTACCAAGTTTGGTTGAAATTGCTCGAGGCGTTCCAGAGTTATGCTGGAACACACACAAACACACAAACTCCAAAATAGGAAATAACTGTAGCATGTCTTCATTAAATATAGACTGTGCAAAGCTGGATACCAAGTTCAGTTTTAAAGATGAAAGTCTTCCATCACGATGCTCCTTATTGCTTGGAACAGAAAGCTTCCTCTATCTATCATATAAGCGCTCTAAGGAGTATGCAGTTTCAGACTGCAGATAGTAATTCAATTTTCAAATGTTCCCCTTAGTGAAATATACCTTGCTGGAAAAGCATTAAAAAAAGTAGGGAGATGTTAGAATCTCTCTTCATTGTGCTTCTCCCTACCCTGTTTCTTATTTGCAGAGTATTTTACATAGGGGATTTGTAAAAGTGTAGTCTACCATCAGTCTGAAGTAGCACATCCCATTCTAGTATCTTAAATTGTTTTAAATCTCAAGGTATGCAGTGTGTTGATAAAACTTTACTGCTTACACAAATTATATGGTCTCATCCTGGCTAATTTGCCTTTAAGTATTATAAAAAAGTTAAGATCATATCATCATACAAACCAGGAAAATATCGCTAACATATTCATGAAAAGTCACTTTATTAAAACAGCTCTTTAAATTTTGCTTCCTGGTTTAAATAAAACAGAAATTTGTTTGACTGAGTTGAAAGTTATGGGAAAAGCTTATGCATATTGCAGTTTCAAGAGTTGAACAGTTATTTTCTCCCTGTTCCCATGAAATGATTTGGTCTTTTTTCCCCTTAAAAGGATTAGAGCTCATTCATACATACAATTCATACAAAGATTCAACTGAGAAATTGCAATTTTACATGAAAACGCCATTTCTGATGTTTAAACTGTGATGGCATTTTCTTCATACAGTGCTTATCCAGTAAGAGTCATACATTCAGGGACTGTACAGAACTGAGTGTACTCTTGGTATTTTAAGAGAGGGGATTGATGCTATTCTTTTCATACTCTTAACCTGTCTCCTATGGCACATATATTTAGAGGTACCACTTTTTTTTCAGTAGGTGGGATTTACTATCACATAACTGCAAAAGTTACAGCTTTAGTCCAGTACCTAGATAGTTGAAAAAATGGTCCCATATACATACGTCTGAATCAAGTCTCCTTCGTTGACGATCTTCAGACTCAACCTCTGCATTTCCATTTATTATCTGTGTACATTTGGGGCAAAGCTTCCAGCCTGGTATAAATTGACGTCCAAACTTGGCACTTAGAAAAGATGAATCATCTATGTCAATTGCATGCAAGTTTTTCCTGGAGAGCTTTTTGTGCATATTGAAAGGATCGCAACATGACTTTTGCAAGTCTTCATACCTATCAAGGTAAACTTTAGCGTGATGGAAACAGATTGTATGAGTCTCTGAAAGTGTTATCCCAGTTCTAAGCTGAAGAAGTAACAGATCAGTTGTTGATAAATCTTGCTTAGTCTTGAAGCCAGTTTGAGAAGTAAAGTATGCTTTATGACAATCGCTGCTAGCTTGCAGCTGATTTCCAATTGAACATGGATCCATTTTACTTGATCAGTAAAATATAGTTCAGTATTTAAATTGTATCGTTTGTCGTCTTTTAACAGCTGTTACGAGGATTATCCTGGAGAAAGCAGTGAAGGAAGTAAGATTTGTGATGCATAAGTTTATTTTTAACTAGAGCCAAAACAAAATCAACTCAGAAATGTGTTCTGTACTCTGATATTTTTTTTAAGGATGAAGTGGAATCATAAAATAGGCATTTTTGCAGGCAATGCCAGTTTCTCGGTTTTCCAGAAATTTGCCTACCATTAAATTTAGGCACGAAAGTACCATGTTGCAACTAGAGTACATTTATATGCCAGCTTTTATCAATTCCGTATATAAAATAACCGCCATTTCATGAATAAGTTTTCATAGATTAAAATAATATTGTAGACTGGTACAAGTAGTTTTAAGAATTGGAAGGAATAACCTAGTTGGGAACTAAAATAGTATTGGTTTCTATTCCAAAATGAAGGATTGCTTTACAATAACAAAATCATTTTTTTTTTCCAGAATACTCATTGTGGAAAAGATGCCGAAATAATAATAGATACTTATATTAGGTATTTGACATTAAGAATCTCAAATAATAATAATAATAATAATTTAAAAAAACAGGCCAGCTTGTTAAGCCGTTAATAAATTCCAAAAATGCAAGTGTTTTACTTATGCAGAAAAATCCTGCAACAGATCTGATGGCAAGTTGTAAGACTTTTGTACTCGTTAGATTATTCGATAAAGTTGAAAGTTATACAGATAACTCAATTAGAACTCTCAGACAAAGTAGGCTAAGGACCACCTTTAATTATTTTCCAAGCACATAATTTATGATTCATGTACAGAAGCAGCTTGCAACATGACGCTTTTGTACCTTGGGAATATACATCTTGTCCAAACTGCAGGATCTGCTAGCAAAATGTGCACCAGATTATTTCTTGAGAAATGTATGATGCCACTTCCAATATATGTCTTAACAGTGGAAAGAAGCCTTAAGACATCCGAATTAATATTTCCTAATGGCACTTTAATTAAAGAGTGCAAGGCAGGAGGTTGCAAGAATGACGGCGGAAGCAAAGCCATGTGAAGAAGCTATTAAGCTGCAAGCAATATTATGAAGAGACTAAATGGTCGACAACAAAATCAGACAAGGAAAAAAACTTGCAACTTGTAGCTTTTTTCCTCAATGAATCAAAAGTCACATGCGTGCCCAGTCCAGATTGACATTTTATCAGATTAGGATTAAATTTTTTTTAGGATCACCAAAATCATGAGTATTTTTTTCAAACACTTGCAGAGGTCAGGATCCAAAAAAATTCACATAATGCATGTTAAGTGCTTCTACATATGAAATTTTCTTTATCCAAGTTTCCTTCCAAATAAAGTGTTCTGGGCTTGCATGGGATGCCCCATAATCTTCCACATCATCATTTCAGAAGGGAGGACAAAGGGCTAGTTGAAGATGTCCCCAAAAGTCCAGATTTACATGTAGAGACTTGTAAGCAGCAACTGGGATCTTATGATGAGTCTCACTATTTAGCCTAATTGTCTTGTCTTCATGAATTATTTATTTTAGAATCTGAAACAAAAATTCATATGAGGACCCGTGTCTTGGAATATTTTAACTCTTTGCCTTTTTTTCACACAGTATTATACTTTACATCCTCTATTCTGCTCCAAGTTAGTTATCACTCCAAAAGACATAGATTTCAGTTTGACATCAAATATTTGACTGTGTTCTATAAACACAGGTGTACTTTTACAACTCAACTTTTTGTTTGTATTTTTTTTGTTTGCAGTTATGTAAACAAACATTATGACCGCGTCTTTACATTTCTTGTATTGTTTAATTATTTTAGCCAAGAGATCTAAGATCCTGCTCATAATTTAAACTCTTTCGTAACAGAAAAGAGATACATAAAATTACATCAGCTCCGAAACTCAACTTAAAATGACAAGAATAAGGTTTTTAATTATTGTTGGTATAAAATATTGCCAATAATGAGTGTTGAAACATATAAAGCTTCAGTTTTGCTTTGCTCTGATTAAAAAATTTAGGTGATGTATGAGTGGGCAAATTTTAGAAAGAGCAGAAGATGTCAAGGATAATGCACTAATTTTATGCAGAAGTGAATCATTGAAAATAAATAGCTGATACCGCATGATAAGGAGGTAGGTAATGTTAAAAAGGAGGCAAGAACAACTGCTGATAATTACATTTAAAAAGTAACAGAAAAAAAAGCCAAGACATGGAAAGAAAACAAAAGGAATAACTTCAACATATTTGCTATTATCAAAGCATGCATATTATTCTTAAAAACTTTAACTGTCTCTGTAGTTGACTGATTATTCAGTGTCTGAGATTCTTAATAGTATGTGAACTGGATTGTCTTGAATGAAGAATCTGTTCGCACAATACTGGAAGTGTTCAGCTTTGTCAACACATCGGGGCATTTTAATTAGCATTTCAGCACCATGTAACTCAAGAGTGAGGAATGTGAAGCATTCCATTCCTGAACCACAATTCCCAGCATCCTTTGTCATTGCTGTAATGAAAATTATAGTTCTGTAATGGAACTGAAGCTACTCAATGCTATGTCCAGCAGTGTCTGGAGGAATGCAAGTTATATTTCTCTGAATTATCTGATGCTAAAGCAGTCACAGAAATAATTCAATCATGTTGGTATATGTGAGCATCTTTATAAATGTTGACTTGCTGAAGTGCTAGAGAAAGGACCCTAACAAAAGCTTCTATTTCCAGAAATCTGTTATGCTACAATTCAAATTATTCTTAATCAACTGACCAAGCAGCAAATAATTTAAAATTTGCTGCAACAGTTTCTAAGTGTGAGAACTGGTTGTAAGTTAGGTTTTTTTTTAGCATTGATATAACTTTGAATGGCACTAAATAAATGGCTGTAGTTGAGGACTTCCTGTTTCTATAAAAAGAGACACTCTGCATATCCTCATAATCACTTTGAATATATTTTGCTGGTAGTAAATTCTATATTTATGCAGTCCAGCTGAAATACCCAAAAATCCTGCTAAAGAGTGGGAGAGAAAGTGAAGGGTAACAATGGACAAATCCAGCAAATGTTTTTGTAACAGAAATCACATTGGGGGGGGGGGAGAGGAAAAAAGAAACCCAGCATCCCTAATAGTAATCCTAGGTATTACATATCAATTTGAACTTAATCTGGAAACAGTCTGTTGCAGCATATGCACTATGTAAAATATATAGAGCAAAGCAAAGCAAGCCATGGCTGAGCTTGTGTAACAATTTGTAGAAAGGCAGAAAGTATACAAATCACATTTTGTAAAAGTTATTAACAGATTATGTACTTTATTGCTCAAACATTGCAATGACAGTCATTGCTATTTTGAATGATCAAAGAACTGGTCCTGATTTTGCATCAGCACTTGCTAAGAAAGAAAATATAGTATGAATGGGGGAGAAAAGGCCCTCAGAACCAAAAACTTGATTCCCTAATTTATCAATTGACATAAACCATACACTGAAAAAAAGATGCAGCCAATCAAACCTCACACATAACATATTTTAAAGTGTATCTAACAATGTAATGCATAAAGTGGCACATTGTTTCCATTCCATAAAATCAAATGATAAAGCTAATTAAATCAGATTATAGCAATTTTAGTTACTTAGTTATTTAGATTTACATGCAACCACCTTTTTCCACTTTAAGAGTTAAAGGTACATACATTTGAAAATACCTTTATTTTTTAAACTAGGGAGACACAAGATTGCCATACCTGAAATATATACTATTACATAAAATAACATAAATCCAGAATCAGACAAAAATCTAAACACATACATAGAGCAAGACCTTATCCAATGTATGATTTAGTATATGAAATTATTAAATGGGTCTATACCTCATGGGCATTTATAGTAAGTTGAAATATAATCCACACCATTTTTACTATTTTTGTTTGTAAGCAAATATGTATATAAACATTTCACTCTCTAACGCACACAGGAAATGCCAGGATGTTAACTTTGGCAACAATTCAACTGTAATGCTGGTTAGAAGTCTCTATAAGCAGCTGTTCTCCCCTCAACTGTAGCCTCAGATCAGGCTACAGTGACTTCCTTAGATATGATTGATAAAATTCTTCTGTATGACATAAAACATTTCCATAAGTGACTGACTTAGCCAAGTTTTTAAAAAGCCATATAAGCTCATCCAATGTTGTCTATCCATTTTTATTTTCAAGCTCACCTCATGAGAGTGGGTATGTCAAGACCAGAAGAGAGAAAATTCCTATACAGGTAGTTCTCGACTTACAACCACAATTGACCCCAAAATTTCTGCTGTTAAGTGAAACCTAATTTTACAACCTTCCTTGCCATAGTGGTTAAGTTGCAGTTGATAAGTCAGTAACCTGGTTGTTAAGTGAATCTCCCTTCCCAAATGATTTTGCTTGCGAGAAGGTCGCAAAAGGTGATCACATGACCTTGGGACACACCAATGATCATAAACACGAAACCATTTGCCAAGCATCTGAATATTGATCACACGATGATTGGGAGATGCTGGAAAGGTGGTAACTGTGAAAAACAGTCACAAGTCACATTTTTCCTCCCCGTTGTAACTTTGTGCCAGGCTTTCTCCATCCACATCGGCCTTCCGGACATGGACCTCGACTCCCATAATCCAGCGAGACGGGGATTATGGAAGTGCGAGTGCAATGAACCGGGGTTGGGCAGCCTAAACTGCGTTCCGTGGAGGGCAACTCCGCTCACACAGCCTCCCCGCGGCTCCTCACCTTGCTGTGGGCTTTCCTTCGTCCGAGCCCCGCTGCCGCTGCTGCAGACACCAATCCCGCGTCGCCCGCCTCGGCCACGGCTGCCATGAAGCCGACCGCTTCCTCGTCGTAGGGCGAGAACAGCTGCGAGGCGCAGGAGCAAGGACGGCAAATCTATTGGCCCACTCGCCGCACTTCCGGCTCCGATGGCTTCGTAGAGACCCACGGCAGGAAGAGCAAAGCCGGCGTTGGGACCGGTCGTTCCTGCATCTGCTTCCCTCGCACGATTCCCACCCACCCCAAGATCGTCCTACTTTCTGTTCCGGGTTGTTGAGACAGAACCCGTAGCCCCCCCCCCCCCCAAAAAAAAAAAAACTTTACAGGCAGAAGTTCAACAGAATAAGCCAGTGACTGTTGTACGAGGAGAAACCGATGCGGAGGGTTGCGTCTTTTCGATCACCGAGGACTGAGGGTTAAATCTGGCTAAATCAGTTTCGCCCTGATAGAGAACCTTCACGCCCTCTAAAAAAGGATTAGTGCATCAAACCGTGTATTTATTTATGCACATGCCTTATTTGCACCCTTCTGTGTCACCTTTATTTCGTATAATTCTCCCCCCCCCCGTCGCATTTGTCACTTTTGCTTTCGATAATTTGTGTAATGCCCTTCCCCATACGTATAAGGCAGGAGCAGGGCCGCCGAGAGGATTTAAATGCTGGAACAAGACTAATGTGGCCGCCTCACCTACACATGGACACACGTTTCTGTTTTTCCTTGCATGTTTGAGCTCCAGATTTTTGAGATGACATTTCATAACCATTCATAAACTGAAATGAAATATAAAATATATTCCTAAATGAAATGAAAGTAAACTTGCACATTTAAATAAGTAATGAAATTAAAGTTCAATAAATTACATAAATAGCACTTCACTGAGTTTCACATTAATAAAGGTTGTCAAACAAGGCTACAAGGCGGTTTTGCTATACATACGAAGTATAGAGTATGAAGTATATATATCCAATATTGTTTTTCTTTTTAAAAAAAAAAATTTTTGTAATTTTTTTTTTAAAATTCCACTTCATGGACCGCCTTTGAACTCCATGGGCCTTGGAACAATGTACTGGCTATACCCTCTTCTCCTCAGACCTGGACATGAGTACCTGAAGAAGAGCTACAAATTACAAAAAAAAAGAAAAAAAGTTATTTCTAGACTAGAGGAATTCACAAATTGCATCAATAATGCAACTGATTTTTTTAAATAACTTTCTTTGCACAGCACCTGAAGAGCATATATCATTTATTTACAAGAAAGTAGACCCACATAGGATCTGGACTAAAGAAGGGCTTGTTTGCGGATGTACCATACCAGGATTCTAATTATATAAAGATTCTGACTGTGAAGCCTGTGTATAAACATTGCTCCCATAGCTGCCTTAGAATAGAATAGAATAGAATAGAATAGAATAGAATAGATCTGGAAGGGAGCTCCTCAAGCAGAGATCCTATACTGTTTCAGACAAGTGGCTGTCTAGTCTCTTCTCTTGCCTTTGATACAATGGACAACTCAACTCAGTAAATGAATTGGCAAAGGAAGTTTCTATTGGATGCATTCTGTTTTCTATAGCTGTGCCAAAATTCAAGATAATTCTAAATAAGTAGATGTTTCATAATTTTAAATAACAATAGTTTTAATAAAGTATTATTAAATGAATGTATAAATACAGGTCAAGGATAATTCTATATCATATTACAATGAATTGTAAAGTCACAGTATAAAATAGGGAGTTGTAGACTAAGTCATTCAATTGTGGTTGTAAGCTGAGGACTATTATAACCCAGAATTTTCTTGCATCACATATGAGCTCTGTAATGAAATGTACAGGGCTGGATTCCCAGGAGAGAAACGTGCATTCCAAAGGAATTCAGTTCAGATAGTTTGTGTGAGAGAAAGAAGGTAAAGACAGGCCCTTCATAATAGTTCTCAGAATATATGCTTGATGTAGATAATAAGAGTGCTTCAGTTTGGCAAGATTTTGTCTATAGGCAAGGAACAATAAAGGAACCTACATGGAAACATCACCATGTGTCTTTCTTGTTTTTTTGGGGGGGGGCTGACATTCTCAGCTTGAAAGTTCAGTTTCAATTGTTTTTAAAGGCATAGAAAACTCACATAGCAGTCCAAAGCAAAATATTGGCAGCCCACTCAGAAGCTGCAGATGGTTCAATATGCAATAGCAGTAAAAGACACTTTCCAGAATGCCTGTGCGTCACCACTGCTAGAT